GACCCATGGATGGATGGACCCATGGATGGATAGACCCATGGATGGATGGACCCATGGATGGATTGGCCCATGGATGGATAGACCCATGGATGGATGGACCCATGGATGGATAGACACATGAATGGATAGACCCATGGATGGATAGACACATGGATGAATGGATGGATCCTGAGATGATCTCTGAAATCTAACAAAATGTAAAAATGTTTCCTACGGGCAAATTTTCACTTTTACCGGTACACAACAAAAAACAATGTCCTTAAATATAAAACATCCCATAATACAAACTGTTTATGTCTTTATTTAATGTGTTGTATCATCCTTCCTTCCGTTTGTGAAGCTCAACCAATGATGATTTGTGGTCATAAGTCTTGGCTGTTGTTGTTTTCAGGTTTGGAAACCAGTGGGGGCAGCACGGTGGCGCAACTGGTAGTTGCTGCCTCTCAGCGAGCAGGTCCCTGGTTCAAATCCCGGTCAGGGGGCCTTTCTGGGTGGAGTTTGTTCTCTCCGTGCATGTGTGGGTTTCCTCCCACAGACCAAAAGCATGCATGTTAGGCTGATTGGTAACTCTAATTTGTCTCTAGGTGTGAGAGAGAGAGTGAATGGTTGTTTGTCTCGTTTGTCTCTATGTCCCTGTGATGGACTGGAGACCTGTCCAAGGTGTACTTCGCCCCTCGCACAGTGACTGCTGGACATGGGCACCGGCGACCCCCGTGACCCAAAATGGAAGAAGCAGGTAAAAGATAATGGATGGAAACCAGTGGTTTTAGTTATTGTGGTGAAGTCAAAGTTGATGGCACACTGCTCTCCTGTGGATTGAGCTGCAAACTGCAAGAAGAATGTACGAAGAGCAAAAAAAGTTCCATCCTGTCGTCTGGACAGTTCATCCTAAAGACTTCATCAGTCTGCAGCCTGCCAACTAGATCTGTCCCAGAGCCTTAAAAATCATTTAAAAAAGTAAAAATCATAAAACTTGAAAAGTTCTTATTGTGTACAAATCATAAAATACCTGTTCATGGAAAGTCCAAACTTCTGTGATCCTGTTAAACTTTGAAAGATGTTTTATTTTTTCTGTGAAGAATGCCTGAAATACAGAGCTCAAGAGGGCTTGGTTTTCTCAAATGTTTTATCAAAAATCACTTTGGTCTCCGTTATTTGTTTTTCCAAATGTTTTAAATTGGTTTATGCTGATTGTAATTGATTATAAGAAGCATAAAATTTGTTTGTACCCTCATTGAAACAAGGCTTTGTTTCTCTTGAAAAGGGGTTCAGTTCAAAACAGTTGCCTAACAGACATCTGCATACCTTTTATTACTGGATGTGATGGCAGCACAGCAGCTTAGTGGTTAGTATTGTTGCCTCACACCAAGGGCTGAGTTTGATCCCCTGTTTGGGCCTGGGGTCTTTCTGCGTGGAGTTTACATGTCCTCCTTGTGTTTGCGTGGGTTTTCTCCAGGTACTCTGGTTTCCTCACAGTCTAAAAACATGTTAGGCTACCTTCAGGCTCAGGCCTTGAAGAGATCTGTGATCTCAGTGGGATTTTGTCTAGTTATTTTTTTCTTTTTCCGGCTGCTCCCTTCTTCAGGGGTCACCACAGCAAACTAAGCCGTGCGAAGACTTGGCAGTTATTTTTATGATGGATGTCTTTCCTGACGCAACCAGACCACCAAGCTACCACAGCCCTGTGTGGAGCAGGGCTGCTATCTAGGGCGCCTGGGGGAGCAGATAGTGGGGGTTAAGGGCCTTGTACAAATGGGGAAAATGAGAGGTTTCCTACGCACATTTTGATGTTGGCGACCGTCAGGCTCGCCTTCTCCAACCTCTGTGCCACCACTCCCCATGGAATAAAGGTTAATAAATAAAATCCCCCGGCCCGCGGCCATCAGGCCGGCGCGGTGGTGGATTATTAACAATATTCAAATCAACTTTTGACTGTAAACAACTGCCCATCCCAGTTTCCCGCGCCAGCTTTGAGCTGAGCGTCTTTGAACTCGGACATTCACCTCACACTTTATTTGCACTCGTCTACCGCCCACCTCGATCTAAGGACTTCATAAATGAGTTTTCTGACTTCTTGGCTGAAATCACACCAAAATATGAGCATCTTTTCATTATTGGTGACTTTAATTTGCACGTGTGCTGTCCTGAGAAGCCCTTGGTTAAGGACTTTTTAGATTTATTGGACTCATTTAATTTAACTCAGCATGTAAACGGTCCCACCCAAGAGCGTGGACATACACTGGACCTTGTTTTAACTCATGATGTGACTTTTAGTAATCTTGTTATTGATGATAATGTTTTCTCAGACCACATGCCAGTCCAGTTTGAGTTCACCCTCCCCCATCTAACTCCTATGTGGTGCATTCTTGCACATAGCACCCAGGTAATTAACCATTTCACTGCCACATGTTTCACAGATGTTTATAACTCTGAAATGATCATTCAGCCCCCGGTGTTTCTCACCACCACCGAGGAACTGACATCCCAGTTCAACTCTGTCTGCTTAAAGACTCTGGATCATGTTGCTCCCGTTAAAACCAAAAAATCAAAACTGAGAGCAGAACCTTGGCTGAGTGATGTCACCAAGGCCGCTAGGCAGCAATGTAGGAGGGCAGAGTGAAAGTGGAGGAAAGACAGGCTGCAGGTCTCTTTTCAAATACTTAAAGAGAGTTGGCGCCATTATCAGAAAGCAGTGAAAGCTGCTAAATCCAAATACTTTTCTGATATAATTACCTCAAACTCTCACAACCCATGTGTCCTCTTCTCCACCCTAAACTCTGTTCTCCACCTCACTGAACCATCACCTCTGGAAGCCTCGACTGAGCTGTGCGACAACTTCTTACATTTCTTTTTGGAAAAAATTGCGACCACCCGGGCTCTCATTTCCCCTCCAACTCATGACCCATCCATCCCACCTCAATCTGTAGCTCCTTTTGACCATTTTGAACCCATCACTCTATCTCCTCTAGAGCAGGTCATGTGCAGCTTGAAACCTTCTGGCTCCCCCTTTGATGTGGTCCCCCCTCGACTACTAAAGGAGGTGTTTCCAACTCTATGTCCGTCCATTCTTGATATAGTAAACAGTAGTTTATCCACTGGCGTAGTGCCAAAATCCTTTAAACATGCTGCTGTCCAGCCTCTCATGAAAATAACAAACCTTGACCCCTCAGTCGTGTCCAACTTCCGGCCTGTCTCCAAACTCCCATTTGTTTCTAAAGTACTGGAGAAAATAGTCGAGTCCCAGTTGAAGTGCTTCCTGGAAGGTCACACCATCTTAGAGCTATTCTAATCTGGCTTTAAACTTCTCCACAGCACTGAAACTGCCCTGCTGAAGGTCTTTAACGACATTGTCAGATCCACAGATACTGGTGATTCTGTGCTGCTTGTCCTATTGGACCTCACAGCCACCTTTGACACCATC